CCTTTAGCCTGTTGATACATATTTGTTTCACTTGGTGCCATTATGAATAATGTGACTATAAACACTGACATACAACTCTTTGCATGCACACAAATTTTCATTTCTCCTGAGCAAATACATATAAGCTGGTGGTATGGTCAGTTTATCTTTATTGTGTAAGGTAATACATCAACTTGTTTTCTAAGTAACTCAGCTATTTTATAATCCTACCAACAAAGTATGAGCATTCCAATTGTTCTATGTCTTTATCAACACGATGTTGTCAGGCTTTTTTATTTTAGTCATTCTAGCTAGTATGCAGTGACATTTCATCATGATATTAATTTGTATTTCATTGATGATTGGAATTGAGCATCTATTCATGTGCTCAATACAAATATTTATATTAATTTTGAAGTATTTGTTAAAATACTTACCTGATATTTATTCCTTATTATTGGGTCAAAGAGTTTTTTATATATTTTGGAACAAAGAGCTCTTTATATATTTTGAATCAAAGCTTTTTTTCACATATGTTTTGTAAATATTTTCTCCCTGTCTGTGACTTGTTTTCTCATTTTCATGATGTGTCCTTCACAGAGCAGGATTCACATTTTGATATCTGTTTTATCAATTGTTTTATTATATGACACATATTTTTGTGATTTATTTAAGAAATAAGTCTTCCTTGAAGACTTTCTCAAATTTGTCACTATTGACATTTGAACCTTCTTGGAAGGCAGTTCGGTGCATTGGAGAATAATTAGCAGCCATTCTGGACACTACCTTCTAGATAGCAATTGTATCAGTTGTACCAACCAAAACTACCTCCACACACTGGAAAATGACTCTGGGATATGAAAGTACTGAGAACTACAGGCCAAACCCAATGCCATAAATATTTTCTCCTTTAAAAACAGTCATAAGTTATAGCTTTAGCTCTTGCACTTAAGGTCTACAATTCATATTCAGTTAATATCTGTGTAAGTGCTAAAGTAAAGATCAAAATTTGTTTTTTCTATACAACTGTTTAGTTGATCTAATATCACTTGTTACATAGACTTTTCTTTCCCCTATTGGAGTACCTTGGCACGTTTGATGAAAATCAGTTGATCCTATAACTGGACATCTGTTTCTGATCTCTCTATTCTGTTTCATGGCTATATTTCTATGTCTTAATTATTGTAGCTTTGTGATAAAAATAAAATCAGATCATCTAAATACCTTGCTTTCTTCCTTTGATTTTATTTAATTTCTGTCACTTTCTGAAAGCAGGAATTCCTTTCCAGGATCTCTCTGCCTCCATTCACTTTCCTGTACATCAAGTATCTACTTAAAGTCTCTCAGGCTTTAGTTTCTATCTGGAATACATCAATTCAATAAGATCTAGCATATTTCTGGAAGTAGAACCCAATATTGCCTCAAATACTTTTTAAAGGTAGCCAGGGAAAGGAAAAGATTATATTTTTATCCTTAGATATCTGTAGGTCATAATCACAGCCTGTACCAAGCTAACCTGAAATTTTACAGTTCACTAATAGCTTGTAAACATTGTGTGACCATAAAAGAACTTTTCTACATGTAAGTGGATTGGCCATATAAAATAAATAGCTTCTTGCTTAGTCAAAATATCAAATCCTAAAAGATCAAACATGACAATCATATGCTTAATTCTTGATAAAATAAGTCAATGTTGTCCAGATTGAGGTAAAGTGGATATTTTTCTTATAGAGTAATAATTTTTATGATAATACAGTTTAGCTAGTTGTTTAGGAAATCATATATAGAAAGGCCTTAAAATTATCTGACCTATCACTTCCACTTCCGAGGCTCTTATGGAAACAATGCTAGAGCCAGGAAAGTGGCCCTTGTTTACAAATATACTCACTAAATTTATAAATGTGTGTGTGCACATACTCTTTCACTGAGCTGCACTATCAGCCTTATAATATTTTTAATATTATGCAACTGTCTAACTGGAAAATAAATATTTTCATAGTCATTTTAAATGTTCATAAACAGCTTCTGAACAACATATTAAGCATATATATGCTATTTAAACACAATTTTTTCTTTTATTACATTTATGTATTTTGTGTATGTTTGTATGCACATGCATGTGGGCACACATGCCACGGCACGTGCATAAGTCAGAAGACAATTTATGGAAGTCAGTTATTTACCCCCCTCCCCAACATGCTGGTCCCAGAGTTAGAACTCAGGTCATCAAGCTTGTCAATAAGCACTTTTACCCACTGAGCCGTCGTCCCTCTAGCCCTCAACTCCAGTTTTTTTAAATGTATAATAAATGCCTGGAAGATAATGGATCAGAACCTTAATGGTGGCTGGTGAGACTTTTAGATGTTTTTGATTTTCCCACTTGCTATTTTCTATCATTGAGTCAAGAAAATGAGATTTCTTTTAATAAGAGCTGAGCACATTGAATTTCTGAGCCAGAAAAGAACTTTAGAAAACTGTATATGTATATATTATTGGTAAGGAAGTTGTCTTGTCAAGGAGAGACACAGAGAATTTGGATCATTTGTCTAAGCTCAAAAGGCAAATTGGCAGGACTTTCAAACTGACATTCCCTGATTAGACATTACCACACTCTGGTCATTCTTGTATTCCAGCCAGTGTTTCCAGTTTAATTAGCATGGTTCTTATCATCAATGCTTAATGTAAATAACATAAATTTATTATTTATTATTTTCATTTTATGTGTATGAGTGTATTGCCTGCATGTATGTGAGTGCACCGTGTCGTGCAATGCTGCGGAGGTCAGAAGAGAGCTTCGGATTCCCTGGAACTGGAGTTAAGGGCAGTTCGTAGCCGCTATGTGGATGCTGGAAATTGAACCCGGGTCCTCTGCAAGAGCAGTCAGTGCTCTTAACCGCTAAGCCATCGCTCCAGTCCCAATAATGTAAATTTTTAAAAATCCCAAACCTCACTTGAATATGAATGCCCTTGAACCGGATAATGGATGGAATCTTACAGTGTATTTCCAACGAATATTTGAAAGCATGAGCAGAAGTAGAGTTTTATTCTAGAAAGTTTTCCAGAGTTGAGATTTAAAATGCCTCATAAAGAATTCATTTTCTTTATTGAAAGCTCATTGTTCCTTTGTTAGAGTTATTCTTGTTTGTTTGTAATTGCCCAAACAGAAATGACAGGGTACAGCATGATCTTGTAAATCAGGACTTTCTGTTACAAACTGACTGATCTTTATTGTTCAATTCATAAACTAGTAGGATGATGCTAGCATAGCTGATAACTAGCAAACCATACACCAAACCCTTAACTTAGTTTTTCAAATACCAATCAATATGTCCAACATCATCCTAAATGGAAAAAAAAAAAAATGTTTCAGGTTAACATTTCATACCACTGAGCTGAATCCAAAGGGAAAGGTTAAGCAGAGTGTTTTATCTTCTTAAAAGTGGTCTGGTCTGTTTGTGTTACTGTTTGGCTTCCAGTTAATCAGGGCTATTTACGAGTTTAAGAACATTCAGCAATTAACAGTGTTCAAACAGCACCAATCTGCTGTGTGATTTCAGCTGGGAAAACAGCTGTATGAACTAACACAGCTTCCCGACTACAAGCACTCCACCCACCGGGGAGCCAATTTTTAGTTCTTTAGGTATGTCACACCGTCTCAGGGCATCACAAAAAGAGTGTGAAATATATAAATAAATTGAAATTTCAAAGCTAGGCCATGTCTTAGTAATTAAAAGAGAATTTAAAGTAGCTTTTCCAACAAAAACATCCTTTCTGGGAGACAAAACAAATTTAGGAAGTCGGTTGCAGTTGCTTTTCCACCAGGAACCACTGTCATCCTTATTTTTAAGACTGCTTGGTTCTATTAGCAATTTTAACACACAGTCATTCTAATCAGCAATCTACTTGCTCTTCAGACTTTGACACTTCCCCAGTTGCTAGGCCTGTGCTTAACTAAACAAGTACAATAGCACAAGTGGAACATTTATGTAACACAGGAACTATAAATGTTCTTGGAGAAACAGGCCTACTCGTTCTAAAAGACATGGCAAAGGGATAAGCCCATTGCTTTTTAAAATAGATTTTAAACTCCTGTGAGGAATATGCATGTATCACATACAGCATATATGATATATAATACTTGAAGAGAGTCTTAGCATTTGTTTACTGGCAGCAAAATAATGTTTATTGGTTTTTCTTTTTTTTCTGTCTTTTTCATTTGCTGTTTCTTTGTTTGAGATAGGGTCTCAAGTGGCCCAGGCTAGCCTCCAACTTGCTGTGCAGCCACAGTAAGCCTCGAACTCCTTTCTGCCTCTACCTCCCAAGCACTGGGATTACAGGTATGGACTACCATGCCACCCTTAAACTCTATCTTCAAATTTTCTTTTTTAATTCCTGGCACATTTATCTGATATTAGACTCTAGTCTAAGGATATATATGTATATAAACAAATATCTTAATCCTCCGAGATGTAAAAACCAACATTGATCCCCATTTTTTTCAGGAGGAACTAAGACTTAGAAAGGTTAAGGAAACTGTCCTAGGTCCCTCAGCTAGCAAATGTTGGATCATGGTTTGAACTGCAAAACCTTGTGTGCTTTCTCACTATGGACAAAGGATACTAAAAAGTTTTTGAATTGAAGTCCTATCGAATTCTTGAAATAAATATTACAGCTAAGATCATAAGACACAGCCTATTTATGGCCTTTCTCTTCCACTGATATTTAGTAACTTTCCTTTCAAAGCTAAATTATTCTTCTACCTCTGTCCCTTCCTCTTGGACTTTCCACCAAACACACAAACACACACACATACACACACACACACACACACACACACATGCACACACACAGGCACACACATGCATACACACAGCAGCTTCACCATACAGTGTGGTAGTAACAAACGGCAGAAAAGTTAATGTTCTACCTCAACAAATGTACTAAATGGTGTGTACTCAGAAACAGTGTGGTGGGGGAGGGAAGAGAGATCACAATTTACTCAATTGATTGATGTACCCACTGTGTTTACTTCTAGACAAACTCATTTACAAGAGGTATATAGAAATAAGAAAAAAGTATCCACACAGGTGGTTCCTGGATCTCCTTCACATTTTGCTCAAGCTGGTAGGTAGGTCTGCCATTTCTCTGCAGAAGCTAATGTGCTGGGTTTTCTGAAACAGAGTTAGAAATGAATTTTCTCTGAAGGTACTTGCATCTTATAGGCTGGTGTTTACAGTGAATGGAACTTTCTGTTACAGAAAAAAATTGTTTGACATTAGTACTGTCCTGTGTGGTAGCCACTAGTTACATATGACTAATAAATATTTTAAATGTGTAAAGTACAACTTGAGAAACAATTTTAACTTTGTCTAATTTTAATTTAAATTGTACATGTGCCAGGTGGATATTGTATTGGAAAGAATAGCTATAGGCCCATCTTACTGCTTATTATTCATTGGGTAGCCCCAATGTGCTACCTTGAAAAAGGAACAATTTCTGTCCCCCATTTGACAGATAAAGTAATCCAGGCTCAAAGGGATTGTCTTGCCTGTAGATTTATAACTGGTAAGTAGTAAATTCTGAATTTTATACTTACATATGTCCCTCTCAAGGTCTGATGTTTTCATTACCAATAGTTTTCAACACTAGCTTCATTTTAGCTAGAGAACATTTCAAAAATATTGTCCCTAGGTTCTACTCTCCAGAAATTTTCATTCAATTGAATTGAAACAGACGCATATGTCTGAAATTCCCACCAGTGGTGGGAGATAACTTCCCAAAGGGAGCTATGAGAACATTGAAGAATGTCTGCCTCTATTTCCTCTCTTAAGCATGGTTAACAGCTTAAGGGGAAAACAAAGGGAACCCACACCTTCTATTTTGCAGATCTAAGAGAGCTAAGGTGAAGCCCCAGAGCTGGTGTTTGTGAGGGAGCTGAGACTGATGTCCAGCATTAGAACATGAGGCAGCCACAAACCACAAGTCAGGAAAGCTCAGCTAAGGAACTCAGAGGATCAAGCAGTAATGAGAAGTCTGGGTAGCATGACATTATTGTTCCTAGAGGTAAGAACAGTCCATTTTTCACAGACTTGGTGGCGCCATCCTGCATCCTCTCTTCCTGCCTTTCCAAAGGTCTTCTGGAGTGGTCCAAGGGCTTCTGTGCAGTATTCCTCATCCTACTAAGCTTTCTTTCAATATATATAACCCTACTCTGACATATTAAGAGGTGCTTAAAAGTATGACTTTGAAGTAAGTGGAAGCAAGTTGTGTTGTGCTCACATTGTGACATTGCTACAGCCTCGGTTCAAAAGCAGATTTAGAATTCAGAAGACTGGAATTACTCAGATTCTAGGTGGGTTCAAAATTCCTTTCTGAACATTTTCATTTTTCCCACAAAAGTGGTTGGAGAAAATGAAATCAATCTGAGACCTTTAAAAAAAGAAAAAAACCCAGATACCAAAGAGCTTGAGAGTGATGAAAGAAGAGGACAAAATGAAGCTCCCAGCAAAATGTTGGACAGAGGAATCTGTACCATATTCTTTCCCTGGAGCCCTGTCATGTACAGGCAATTCTGCATCTTTGGCTAGAGACCATTAACTCAAGGTCAGGATTGAGAATGTGAACAAAGACAAGCAAGTGCTCAAAGGAAACTGCCATCAAAAAAGAAAATGCTGCCATAAACATCGCCCCACAGACTAGCTCTTTCTTTCTCTTGAACAATAAAGATGTAAAAATAAAGATAATTTGTGTTTTAGACTATCATCAGGAATGGTGTGTGGCTCTAAAATGTGCTAAGGAGTCATTTCTCCATTCAGGAACTCAGCACAGCTGCTCCAGTAAGGAGTCTGTGTATTCTGAAGCTAAAAGAACTTGCATTCTAAGAATCTGCTTTGGTAAGTATCAGCTCTAAGAACCATGAGTTTAAAAAAAAAATCTCCAAAGATGATTCTAGCAAATGACTTCAAATAGAAACATCTAGTCTGTTGACAAGTGCCCTTTAGAAGGCAGAACTTGTATTCTCTTGTAGCAAAATCACCAATCATTTTTGTTTGCCTGCTGCTTATGAAAGTAAGAAAAAGAGGTGTTTTTTTAAGCTACAGCTGCAGATTCAAAAATTAGTTTGTACCAGTTGAGTTTTTTAGTATTATAAAAAGTAAAACAACCCCAAAGGTGAGGGAAGAATAAACAGAGATGTGGATGAAGGTTAGAGTTGAAAAAGACCCTTCAAATATTTACAGACTTGAATGTCAAGCATGATTTTTTTTTAAATCCTACCTGATTCCCATGTCCCCCAGGCCTCTTTTTTCTTTCTTAATAATCATACAAGCCCAAAGTTGAAAAACAACAGAGGTATATAAAATAGAGCATTAAAGTGTCCTACCTTATCTACTGTCAGTCCTCATCAGTATCTCCCCAAATTTAAAAAACAATCTTTATTTTTATTTTATGAGCTGCTTGCATGTAAATAAGTGCACCTTTGCATGGAGGTCAGAAGAAAGCATTGGATTTCCCTGGAACTGGAGTTATGGGTGGTTGTCAGCCACCATGTCGGTGCTGGGAACTGAACCTGAGTCTTCTGCAAGAGCAGCCAGTACTCTTAATCATTGAGTTATTTCTCTAGCCCATGTCCAAATTTTTAACTATTGCCTACTTCATGAAGAGTTAAAACATAGTACCTAGAGTGCTAAGGAGAAGAATCTGACTGAGAATGAAAAGAAGGGAGCTCAACATCTCAATTCTTTCCAATCAAGTTTATGCCTTTGAACAAAATATTTCTTCTCTGTGAAATTCTTTTCCCTTTCAATAAAGATAAGTGAGCTGAAACTACTGCTTCTTGGTTTGCTTCTAATTCAAACCTTCTTTACTGCCATTAAGACAAAACATATAGGCACAATATGTCATTTTAAATTTTTCAGTAGCCACTTTTAAATTTTTTTTAAAGGAAGTAAAATGAATTGTAATAATGCTTTTTATTCATCCCAGCACATTCGAACTATTAGCACTTCAACAGTAATCAATATAAAAGCACTACTATTTTGATAAAATTACTAACTGTTTACATTCTGTTTTTCAAACTAGGCCTTCAACATGATATGTATTTGACACAAGATATTTTCAATTCACAGCCACAGTTCACATTTTCAGCAAGCACATACAACTGGCTGCTAGATTCGAGCAAGGCAGCTTTATACTTACATGGGACATCATTCCAAAGATAGCTTGTTTGGGTGAGTTCAGTTTTGCATCTCTAGACCTGATTGTTTCTGTTAAAGAAAAATGATTATCATTTGTTGACAAAATCCAATCATCAGCCACAAAGGGGAACTACCTAAATTACTCAGAGTTTAGTATCAGCTTTGATTAATGCCAGTGTTATTTCCCTATAACACATTTGGTCTTCCAGTGAATTTTTCTTGTCTGGTTGCCCTCATATTGAATGTCAGGTCTTGACTCTGAACTTCCAAGAACATTTTAGATACAGTATAATCATGAATTAGCAGTATCAAAAATACCTAGTGCATTTTAAAACAGGACTAAAATACTAGCTGACCAAAAAAGGCTAAGGTTTTCATTTTTTTCTCTCTCTTTTTTTTTTTACAGAAACCAATCAGTTACATTCCATCAATTATGCTCTGTACCTCAATCTCTACCATCCTCCAACTCTACCACCCCCCCCCAAACACACACACACACACACACACACACACACACACACACACACACACGAGAAAAAAAAAAAGCTAAAAAGTTTAGATTAACAAAGAGTGAAAGTGTAGTAGTTCAACTATCCTTTAAATACTGCTGATTCCCAATGAATCAAACAAATGCCCTTGAATATCTTCCACTGGACAGTTGTGATGCTTAGTGTTGAAGAGTACTGCCCTCATGATTTGATTTCAAATCCATTGTCATTGTCAGAGGCTCTGGCATATGAGGGTTTCGGTAGAGGAGATGAAGGTTTGTATTCTACAGTATATTTTCCTACAGATGAACCTTACTCCTCAAAATTAAAATACTTTGAAATGGACTCCTTTTTATTCCTTTAAAATGATTCTGCCTAGAAAACATGCTAAAAATATGCTATATTCAGTACATACTATAAATTAAAAACATACTTGCATTTTTTAAGAAAATATCTAAGATAGGTGTGGTTGGCATATGCCTTTAATATCAGCACTTGGGAAGCAGAAGCACGCAGATCTCTGTGACATCCAGGTCAGTTGAGGCTACAGGGAAAGCCTGTCTCAAAATAAAACAAAACAAAACAAACAAACAAACAAACAACAACAACAACAAAAAAAAAAACATTTTAGGGGATTGGAGGGATGGCTCAGCCCTTAAGAGTACTGGCTGTTCTTACAGAAGACCTGGGTTCAATTTCCAGCATATACATGGTGGCTAACAATGCCCATAGCTCCAGTTCCAGGGGATCCGACACCCTCTTCTGGACTCTGTGGGCATTTTACAACATGGGTGCACTTACATCCATGCAGGCAAAATACTTATACATATAAAATTAAAATAAGTAAATAAGCCAGGCATGGTGGTGCATACATTTAATCCCAATACTCAGAAGACAGAGGTAGGTGGATCTCTGTGAATTTGAGGCCAGCTTGTATACCTAGTGAGTAACAAGTCAGCCAGATCTATACAGTGAGACCTTGTCTCAAAAAGTAATTCAGTTAATAAATAAATGTTTTTAACACAACCTTTGAGCCAGAGAGACGATATTTTCTATTTAATTCAAAATTAATGCTCCCAAGCACTCTTGGAACCCTATGACCTACCTGAATTTACTGAGATAACTAAGAATCAATGAGCAGAGCATCTAAAGTCATAAGATTTCATGTTGAGAATCTTAAATGGTTATTGTATTTAGTTCTTATAAAAAGCTACAAGCTTACATATTGTTACTATCCCTCTGACTATAGACAAGGAAACTATAATTTACAGGAGGTCCAAAATTAGATTTTAATTACTAAGGGCTAAGATTTGAACACAGTCTATTGCTAACCATGTCTGTCCAGTGAATGCTTCCATCGATCCTTTATACGTTCAGTGAAAAACCTGTTGAGATCAGTAATTTGGATGTAAGAAAAAACAGTGCAATCATTAGCAGAGGGCATTCGCAGTAGGCCAAATCCAAATTTTAATGCTAACTGCCATTCATTGAATCAACTCATGTCTTGGCAGGTGATAGAGAAAACATGTCAGCTCTGCTGGGATAGGTTTGTAGTTACTTGCTTCCCTGCACCCCCAGCACTTTGCCACTCTCCCAACCTCACTGTCCCTGTCCTTACGCAGAGACATCAACTGATAGCAAGCCCCAGTAGGAGGTTAACTAGATGTCTGAAACATATTAGGGAAAGATACAGTGACACCAATCTCTATCCCATATTGGCAATCCCATGACATGCTCATAGCCTTTGATAGATACAGTTTCTTACCCACCTTAAAACCATAATATGGCACATTCAGCACGGAGGTTTCCTATTCTTGGACATTGGCACTGGGTACAGAGGAAGTAGAGATACTTGATATACCTCTGCTGCCTCCCAGAGTATTGTGATTTGAAAGTGAAATGTCTTTTGTAAGCTCATGTGTTTGAATACTTGGTCCCCAGCTAATGGCACCGTTTGGGAAGGTTGTGGAATCTATAGGTGGTGCAGATTCACTGGAGGAAGTGAGTCACTGTAGGTAGGCCTTACAACAGGGCTCTACTTCCTGTCCAGGGCTTCCTAACTTTAGGTACAATGTGCCCACATGCCTCATGCTCCTAATTCCATGTCTTCCCCTCAAACTCAGCACATTCTGTTCCATAGGCGCTTAGTTTCCTGACTGTAGACACAATGCAACCAGTTGCCGCACACTCCTGCCACTATGCTCTCCTTGCTATGATGGAATGTGTCCCATCAAAGAAGAAGTCAAAAACGAGCTCTTCCTCCCTTCAGTTGCTTCTTGGCAAGACTTGGTCACAGAAACAAGAAAAGTAACTAAAGCACAAGGCATACTTTGGAACAGCGAATGGAAGGAGGGGTACAAAGTGGCCAGTGCGCCATATGAGTGCTTTAGTTTCAGGATGAGAATGTGCATGCACCTGGCAGGTATCCCCATGTCCAAGGTTTCAGGCACTGTCTTAGTAGTTCATTTTGTTTTCCTATATCAAAATACCTAAAACTAGATTATTCGGTGGAGCTGGTGGTAGCAAAGGGTACAGTAGCTTATGTAGCCACATAACCCAGGCTGGACTTGAACTCCTAATCCTCTTGCCTTCACTTCCCAAATGCAGGGATTACTGTGCATCTGTACCACCATGCCCAGCTATGAAACTAGCTAATTTATAAGGAAGAGGAGTGCATATGCTCATGATTTTAAGGGTTGAAAAGTCCAAGATTGAAAGTTGATGTTCTTTGGCTATAACACAACAGAGGCATCACATGGCAAGAGAACAAGAGAAGGATGAACTGGCATCATAATAAGCCCATTCCTATGATAACATTATTCATTCATGACCTTATCGTGTTATAGGCCCCACCTCTCACTCCTTTGCACTGGGGATCAAGTTTCCAACACATGGACTCTGGGGAATGCCTAGAAACCTTACAAGGGACTAATGCTTATATTCTTACATATTTAGGATTTCTGAAATTCATTCATACAATTAAGTTATACACTGAGATATAAAAGATCAAGAGTAAGCTTAAACTAGTTCCTGTATTTTGAGATCCTGTATTTTTTTCCATAATTTTACATCCCTGCATTTTCAACCCCACCATAAATAATTTATTGATAAAATGATGTTCTGAAATAACATACATCATTTTTTCTTCATAGTCCTGTTTTTCTGCCCTGGGCAATATCACTTTCCTTTTACTTAAAGCCTTTATCCTGAACTGGTATTTTTATCTAGCATATATAATGTATAACTATACTGAAGAATAAAACTTAAAAATCATGCTGCCTTGTAAAGTACTGTCAGGAATTTTTTTAATAAGTTTTCATCTGTGGTATGACCTGAAATCTAAATCCATGCCTATGTATATAATCCCATCATACATGTACATACTGGGAAGAATTGGTGTATAATGTTCTTAGCAATGAAATTTTTTTTTTTTGGTCTTTTTGAGACAGGGTCTCACTGTAGCCCCAGCTGTCCTGGAACTCACTATGTAGACCAGGCTGGCCTTGAACTCACAGAGATCCACCTGCCTCTGCGTCCCCAGTGTTGGGATTAAAGGCGTGCGCCACCACGCCCAGCAGCAATGACTTTTTAGGGTGTGGAGTTGCAGGTAATTTTAATTTAGTTTTGTTTTTTTAATTCTCTGCATTTTCCTACTTTGTCTGCAAGAAAATTATTGACATTACATGACAGGGCCCTAAAGCTTTTAAAATCCATTACTCTTTAATATGGACCACTTGGACTTTTTTCAGAAATACACTTTAATCTTTTGGATGTTTCCACCAATTCACTAAAAGAAGTGACAAAACTAAGTGTAAATTACCCACATTTGAGAAGTGTTAATTCATTCAACAGCACAGTAAGTAGCCACCTGGTAACCCAATTCATTATAACCCATCAGACTCTTAATACTCAGTTAATATACACTTGTGCTCTGCATGAGCATGCATAACCTGAGTTTGTTAACTGAATCATATTTATGTTGTAAGTGCATGAATTTCCACAAGATGTTATAAGACAGTGAGTTGAAGTAGCTAAAAATTCCTTGTCATACTTTGAGCTGAAAAACTGCTTGACTTATGATCATGAAGAATCTGGACTGGGAAGAAGACTCAGACAGTGAAACACTTACCTTACAAACACAAGGACCTGGCTTCAATCCCCAGAACCCAATACAAATGGCCCAGTATGTACATGCCTATAATCTCAGTGCTGGGGAGACAAAGATATGAGGACCCTGAGCCTTATCAGCCAGGCAGCCTAACATGATTATTGAGTTCCAGAACAATGCAACATCCTGTCCCAAAGGAAGCAGACAACATTCTTAAATATAACATCTAAGGTTGTCCTTCAGCTTCCATTCAGATGCACAAACACATACCATACTTATGTCACACAAGCATACCAAGGATACACACACACACATACACACACACACACACACACACACACACACACACACATTAAAAAAAATAACGAAGAGCTGGGCATGGTGGCACACACTTTTAATCCCAGCACTCAGGAGGTAGAGGCAGGTGGATCTCTGTTGAATTCAAAGCCAGTCTTGTCTGTGT